TGACTCTGAGAAGATGAAAAATTTGGATAGCCCAGCTCTAAGCAACCAGCCTCTTCACAGAACAAGAACTGGATAATGTTTTCAAGCTTGAGGCTTTGTTTTCAAGCTGTGGTGCCTAAAAGGTCAAGTTTATATAGGATCCTGGGCTGGACAATCCTGCAGTTCCTTTTGGCCTCAGATGCAGTGTCATACCTTAACACTCAGTTCTTAATGGTCTAGGCTATCAAAGATGAGCACTGGGCATATTTTAAGCATAATTTGTGCTTATAACTTCTCTCTTTTTCAACACTTGCCCTTGATCCAAAAAAATCCCACTCCCGCACACAAAGGAGCTACACAGGGCTCTGCACAGTTCAAGAGAGTCAGGCAATGGCAGAGGCTCTGGGAAGAGCTTGAAATTCAGAGATACTGGGCATTGGAGGCTGGATTCTGATTACTGGCAGGAGAAATTGGGGAGCAGATACCCAGAGAAATGCAGAGACATTTGGGTAGTGAGATGGAGGAGAGTCAGAAGCAGCCATGAGTCAGTGAAGAGAGGGCTCTGCCCAAGATGGAGCCATTTGTGGGTGGCAGGGATAGCTAAATTCATGCACAGAGTAATCCCCAGATGTTCTCCAGTTTTAATGCTTTGCTCCAGTGACCCAACAAAATGGTAAATGGCCCATGCTTTAGTTCAGGTTATCCAGTAAATCTAGTCTTTGTCAATGACCAAGCCTTTTCCAGATAGCCCATGTTTCTAGGGAGTGATGCCTTGTAAGGACCATGCATCATCTGGATTCATTTAAAGCCAACCTCCTTCCACTCCCTTTCCTCCAGAAGACCCCATAAAAAGGAGACCCTGGTGTATTCTAATTAACAAGGACAACAAATCATACTTGTCATTTTGCAACCCAAAAGCTAGGGCCAGACTTGTGCATGTGCGTTTTGTATATGTTGAAGATTGAATTTGCAGCCTGCCTCACGTTTGCAAACTCTTGGACAGTGTAGGCAGGGAGAGCTTGGATAAGCGCTCAAATACAAACTTTTATGCTTTCTCAACCTTATGTCCATAGCCATACTTAGAAAGGGACAGAAGAGATTGAACTCCAGGGATTGCCTGTATTGCCAAAGTCCTTGGGTAGCAAAGCCTGGCAAACGCTGGATTTTGTAGACATTTATAATAAGCCTGAACTCTTATTTTTATTAATCATGGAATACATGTCCTTAAGTTTTAAAATAAATATCCAAGACCTTGGATTTCTCATGCAACTGAGAGGCTGTTACAGTAAACGTAAAAATTTTTATTGCCTAGTGATATTCTGGCTTGCCTATATTAATAAAAAAAGGCAGTTAAGTAGCAAAAAAAAGAGAGGTCAGGTCAGTGATACCAGAACAAGAGTTTTGTCAACACTGGACCAGCAGCTTGTTGCATACTTTCTACTCTTTTTTTATGGGAAAGCTTTTCAAGGATGACCCTTGAGTTTGGTGTGCTCTAATACACAGTCTTTACACTGTTTCAAAAGTAAGGTTTTAGCAACCAGATACAGAAGTCTTCAGAATCTCCCACTGAAATGTTTGTTATCATTCTGCTACTGTATTTATTTGTAAAGTTCAATTACTTGAGCTGGGGATTACATAAGAAGTTCAGCTTCTGTTCAACTTTGTTAAATTGAGTTTCTTTCCTGTTCCTCCTTTGTGGAAAACAGCTTGTTAATGCGAACCCAGAGTTCTCAAAAACAGAATGCAAGTAAAACAGGTTTTAAAATAGAGCCCAATAATTTTAAAGTAGTCCTCACACTTGTGGGTCTCTAATTGTCAATTTTGGAATACTTGAGACTGAAGGCCCAGCCAGTATCATTGGGTCTAAGCACAATTTATCCCTGTTTAGGCTCTCAAAACTTGCCATCACACAGGCGTTTTCCCTGAATGAATAACTTAAGGGATATGTGAGCATTTGTCTTTTCTTACCTTGAGGTCATGTCCGTGATTGAAAGTTTAATGTTATTACGTGTCCAATGCTTAATTCACTTGTGGTTACTGTTTGCTGGACAAGCAATGCAAAACCTGGTCTATACACCATTTTTTACTAGGCGTCAGAGCGTGGACTGAACTGTTTCTCAGTGGCTTAGCTCAGCAAGAGGGTATTTTTAAATTTTTGAAATGTCTGTGTGTTGTAGCATCTTTGCTAGCACCTATAAAATTACTTTAAAAAAGAGGTTAGGCCACAGTTTAATGAAAGCTCTATGCTGGATTTTCAACTGTGCAGCAACTACATGCAGAGCCAGACTTTTAGAAGGACCCAGCTCGCATGTAGAACCTTAACTGAATCCCAGGGAGATAATCGAGACATCTTCCATATTGATGGAGTTTTTCCTCCCCATTACATTTAGAATTCCCAAAGATGCTGATGTCCAGCATGCTGGGCCCTTTCAGAAAACAATGCAACTCCCCAAGTCTTAGAGGTGGGCATGGCATACGCAAACAGCAGAGGCTACAGGACGCTGGTTTTGCAGGCATCCCATCTTCCAGGCCCCATGTGTCTCAAGACAAAGAGCCACAAGGCATCTGTGGCTCCTATGTCAGATTAGAGGGGTGACAGGAGTAGGCTGGAGAGGGAAGACGGCAAGAGCATCTCAGGAGTAAGCAAGGCCAGGAGCGCAGCTGGATCCAAGGCCAGTCCAGCAAGGCCTGCCCAGCAACAGGCTCGCCCCCCTCCCAGTAAGGACTCACGTCACCCAGCAGTCTTGCAGCCTTTCTGCTCAGATATGGCCATATCTGAGCTGCTCATGAGGTACGCTGGCACTCCAGAAAGACTACGAAACTGCGAGGTGTGGACTTTGCCATTTTCCTCATGGAGGCTGCAGCCATGTAATTGCTGGCTGCAGCACAGCCCCTGCTCCCAGGCCCCATGCTCCGATGCTTGCTAGGTGCTGTGCTGCTTGATTTCTGCCGGGTGGGTTCAGCACAGGGTCGGATGGTCACTGCAACTGGTGGAGGCAAAAGATAGGCATACATGAGTGTGAAGAGGGTGGGACTGTGGTGCCTAGGACTTAGGTTGGCTCAAGCTTCCATGAAAGCACAGCTTGCCTTATCTGTCTTATGCTGATGGTTTACATGTTAGTACAATTTATTTGTTTCACTAGTAATTAGCATGTAAGACAAGAGGAAACACTCCTATCAAAAAGATTTGCAGAGTTTACTTTGAGAGATGACATGCTTTGATATCAGAAATGAGCAAAGATTACTGTCACTTCTCGTCTAACCCCTGAATGTTACATAGACAAGGCAAAGGGACATCCCAGGAAGGCCGAAGCCTGAACGGTGTTTGAATGCCTGGGGAAGAGTTAGATGACAGAGAGCCTCCCGAAAACAGGGAGTCCCAGAAGTAGAGAGCCCAGTGGTTGAAAGGCCCAGCAAGGCTTCTGGGGGAATGTCCTAGGGGAATATACTAGGGATGTACACTTTACGCCCTTCATTTCCAGGAATAAGAAACCTGTTGACAAGCACCAGGTGTTTGCTATTGAACTCAGTATGTCCCCAGCCTGGGAAATCAGAGGAGCAGGACTATGTCCCATAGTTTAGACACAACCTGAAGTGATCTGTGGCAGCCCTTTATGCCCTTTTTCTGGTGTATTCATTGCTGGCTTTTCAGTTGCAGTAATCTGTAAGAGAAAGTACAACTGAGGAATCCCATATTCAAAGGGGGTGCTGCTGGATAAATATGTTGTTTGCAGCAACATAAATGCATGCTGCAAAGTTTCATTGCATGTTCAGTGGCAACAATCTTCATTATCCTATTATTTCTTTCTCTTTAAATATATGCATGCCTTTATTTGCTCATGACTTTACACTAAATCTTTCAACCTGAGTCATTCTCTCTTCTGTATTTTAAGCACATCTATCATGTTTTTAGTCTTTTCCTGCAACTACCTCTCTCTCCCAAAGTGTGGAGCGCAGACCTTATGGTACGTGGTGCATGTTTTCTCTCCCTCACTGGAAAGACCCACCACTGGGGAATAGAAAAATCCAAATAAAAAGCAGCCACACATTACAGCACAGTGCTAGATGTGTGTACACCTGCAGGTGGCTAACGTTTTCCATTAGAAGACTTATTTTTGGTTGCAACCTTTGTGGCTGGCATTTTCCAAGCATCGCACTCGCCACGGACAGGACTTACATGGTGTGCCAGACACAAATGAGAATCCAGGAGACAACCTGTTATTTTGCTCATGTTAAGCAAACAGATCAGAAATTATTCAGGCCACGCGATTTCTGTCGGAAAATTTTGAAATGAGTCCACTGATTAAAAAAAAAAAAAAATTCCCATTTGTCCGGTGTTGTGGGACCTTGGATAAAAGACTGCACAGAACCGCAAATATTTAAGAGTTTGGTTTTTGTTTGTTTGTTTGTTTTCTTTTCCTTAAACCTCAACCTCCTCCTCCACCTCCTTACACGTAACGGAAAAGTCCAAAACAGCC